AAATAAAAAAACATTTGCGACGGAATGCGACGGAAAAAATTCCGTCGCAAATTGCGACGGAATTATCTGTCACTTTCCGTCGCAAAACGCAGATTTTTTCCGTCGCAAAAATGCGACGGATTAACGACCGTTATGCGTTTGCGACAGCGTTATACCGACGGAAATAATTCCGTCGCATTCCATCGCAAATTCTTAATTGCGACGGATTTCCTTTATATTTGCGACGGATTTTTCCGTCGCTATATAACTGTTTTTTTGTAGTGTATGCCCCCACCATGCAAAAAAGCTCTTGGTTGATTTTGATGCTACCAACCGATACAACAGGACAATTCATCCCAATGTCTTTATTCGGTTTATTGTCGGTTTAAGGCTCCAAATCTTCAATGTAGAATGAAACAACCCATTATATATATATATATATATATATATATGAAATACTAAATCATATAGCATATTTCCGGGATTATGCACTAATTTTGACCCCAAAAAAAATTATTATGAACTGTTTTTTGAAAATGGTATTATTTCGAAAAGGAAAATAATTTGTTTTTTCTTTTTTTTCTCTCTCCAAATATTTGGAGAACGTAAGGCTGTACTTTATTCACGCACAATAGAGCATTAGGCAACTTCTTCGCCTACCATTTTTCTTTTAGCTGAAATTATAATTTATTATGATCCGTGATCAATATTAATTTCCTTGAATTCATCGAACATATAATGAAAAGATTTAAATTAAAATATGTCAAATATATTTGTGTAATATGGTTAGCTCGACCATTTAAATTTTAATATTCAAACATCTATATAGAATCACACGGTCATGCCCTAAGGAAGTGTATTGGGCTATACAATATGTATCCGGCCCAAGTAACTTGTAATTTCAAAAACATCAAGATTTTCGGTCTGATTTAAAAAAAAAAAATTACAAAATCCAATACAAATATAATAAATCAATGATTAACAACCAAGGGTCGGTCCAAATCTCCACGTCATTAACGGTAAGTAACAAAGAACGGTTGTTAGCTCACATGGTGAACTCAGACCAAACAGTCATAAAACCTTAACCATCGGGTTCAGACAACACGAAACCGAACCCAAACAACAGTCACAACATAATATAAACCCCATATATATATATATATGACTCTCTGACGTCGGACTAAACAAACGAACCATGGGCAAGGCCACGCCCTCCACCTCGGGGTCGGCGTACGAGCCGCTCCTTAAACGGCTTGATGACTCCCAATCCTCGATCTCCCATCTTTCATCGCCGGAGATAGAGGACTTCCTCCGTGGCGGAGCCGCTGGGTCAGCCCGGTGGTGGCTGAAGCTCGCCGTGTGGGAATCACGGCTCCTCTGGCTTCTCTCCGGCGCCTCCATCGTTGTGTCAGTGCTCAATTACATGCTTAGCTTCGTCACCCTCATGTTCCCCGGCCATCTCGGCACTCTTCAGCTCGCCGGAGCTTCCGTATCGGCCGTCGGAATCCAAGGCCTCGCTTACGGTATCATGGTACGCACGTTACATGCACGTCTACGTGTATAAAATTTCGTATTATTCACCTAAAGATTCACGCTCGAACGAACCCTTTTGAGTAAAAGACGTGTCTTTGTGTGAAAAAAAAAAGTTGGGAATGGCTAGTGCGGTCCAAACGGTTTGTGGTCAAGCCTATGGAGCGAGGCAGTACTCGTCCATGGGCATAATCTGCCAACGAGCCATAGTCCTGCACGTTGCAGCCGCGATGCTCCTCACGGTCTTGTACTGGTACTCGGGTCCAGTCCTTAGAGCCATTGGCCAATCCGATGACATTGCTCGAGAGGGTCAGGTTTTCGCTCGGGGGATGATACCGCAGATTTACGCTTTCGCCCTCAGCTGTCCGATGCAAAGGTTTCTGCAGGCTCAGAACATAGTGAACCCCTTGGCGTACATGGCTCTAGGGGTTTTCTTGCTGCACACGTTACTATCGTATCTGGTGGTTTACGTTCTTGGGTTCGGTCTGGTCGGGGCAGCTCTGACACTGAGCTTTTCGTGGTGGGTGCTCGTCTTTGCGAACGGTTTGTACATCGTGTTCAGCCCGAACTGTAGGGAGACTTGGACTGGCTTGTCGGTTAGGGCTTTCAGGGGAATCTGGCCTTACTTCAAGCTCACGGTAGCTTCAGCAGTTATGCTTTGGTATCGCCCAAAGTCTTTTATACTTCAAAGTTTTCATCTTTCCATGTCATGTTAGAGAAAATGGTACGATATTGTGTAAATCGATAAAATTGCAGTTTGGAGATATGGTACAATCAAGGGCTGGTGCTCATTTCTGGTTATCTCCCCAACCCCACAATCTCCCTCGACGCCATTTCCATATGGTAATTCTTGATCAATCTTTCACTCATCTGTATAACACGTAAATCTTATCATATACATGATTTTGAATATCATTCAAATTGATTTTCAGCATGAATTACCTGAACTGGGACATGCAGTGCATGCTTGGTCTAAGCACAGCAGCCAGGTACGTTCACACAAGCGAAAACACCCCAACGTTTCGGAGTTCCGTGTGGGCAAATCCTGCCGTTTGTCTGTAAACGCTGTCTTTTTCCATGGCAGTGTCCGAGTTAGCAATGAGCTAGGAGCCGGCCATCCACGAGTGGCTAAGCTCTCGGTAGTCGTGGTGAATGTAACGAGCGTTTTGATAAGCCTGGTGTTCTGTGTGATCGTTCTTGTGTTCCGTGTTGGCCTCAGCAAAGCCTTCACCAGCGACGTTGAGGTCATTTCCGAGATCTCCAACCTCATCAAACTGCTCGCTGTTTCCATCTTCTTAAACGGCATTCAACCCATTCTCTCCGGTAAAATCAAGAACACAATGCAAAGAAATTCTTGATCTTAGCACGAGGATAGGTTCTTGAACTGAATATGATGGTTAACGTGACTCAGGAGTTGCGATTGGAAGTGGGTGGCAAGCAGTGGTGGCTTATGTGAATCTGGCCACTTACTATGTCATTGGTCTTCCCATCGGTTGCCTTCTTGCCTTCAAAACAAGTCTTGGAGTTGCTGTAATGCATCTCTCCCTGCATATATACACTGACACACGTACATATGTATCTACATATGTGTCTGTTACATCATATCCCAAAATGCTTCTGTAGGGTATTTGGTGGGGCATGATCATAGGAGTGTTGCTGCAAACTGTAACTTTGATCTTTCTTACTGCCAGAACAAATTGGACCTCGGAGGTAACACCGGCAAATAATCTTCAGTCCTCTGCTTTTTAGTTGTGTCACTACATCTGCAACTATGAAAGTAACTGTTACAATCTCGGATTCATATCAGATTTCATTCTTCAAGTTCTTCATTTCCTGTCCTGATTCTGCAGGTGGCTAAAGCAGCAGATAGGTTGAAGACATCTGCAAATGAGAGACAGGAAATGGCAACTGAAGGAGTCTAAGATCCAGGAACTTGGCCCTCTTTCAGTAGCATGAGATGTGAAAATAAGGAATTTTGTGTCAAAAGAGTTTTCAGAACAACCATTTCATTACAGAAGTATCTATGTATTTCCTGGGTTCAGACCAACCAAGAAAAGCTTCGATCGTCTCCATGGGGAACCATGACTCATTTCATAGCTACAAGGGAAAGAATGAACAAAACTACTTTGTCCTGAAAAGACCCTTTTGGTTTGGATGATCACAGATCAAATTTAAGCAACTCTCATAGACTTACAAGTTCTTCGGTTTGTAAGCTCAAGTAGTTCTCTTCATCCTTCCTGAAACTGTCTGCTGAAC